ATACCTCTTAAGAATAAAAATATACTACTAAAAAATATTGTATACAAATAATATTATATAGTATCAAATTATGATACATATAATTATTTATAACTAATATATATATATATATATATATATATATGGGCATGCATCAAAGGGGAATTTCTTTTTAGGGTGAAGTTTGTATAAAGCATCAACGTTATACAATTGCATTAAGGTATGCCTCAAAACTATGTCAAAAATGCAATTTCGGAACCACAAAGCCTTGCGAAGACATGAAAATTTAGTGCAGCTCCCAATTATGAAAATTAAAGTTCTAAAAATGTCAACAATCAAACAAATCTATAAATACTTGAAAATCTTAGAAATGGACAATCCAAATAATGTATTAGAAGATAAAATATTTTTAGGACTATAAATCCCTTTTTTTTCATGTCTATGAATCTCGTGGTCAAAATGATCGATTTGAGAAATTTCCAACATAAGAACAACCTTTACTAGTGGTGTTTTAGGTGCATCGTACCAGTACAGTATAAGGTTGAGACCTTATATGATCTTTTTCCTTCTTTTTAAAATCAAGGTGTAATCTTATTTCATTTTATCAATGCATAACCAACGCAATAACGCACATGCTTTAATGGGTTTGGACTTCATTTTCTACATGTACTATATAATCTACATTAAAGACAAGGTCAAATGGATGGTGACCTAGTCAACGCTTTTGGCACGCTTCAAAAGGTTGTGGGTCCAATTTCCACTATGTACTTCAAATGATATAATAAATGAGAGCCATCGCATGCCTAAGCAGTTGCCACGTCCCAAATGCATGTCAACTGAATCAGTCTGTACATAAAAGGTTCAACAAACAACCAAAGTCTGTCTCATATCTAAGCCAACACGTGTTAACAACCAAAGTCTGTCTCATATCTAAACGTCAACACGTGTCTAAGTGTGACACATCTAAGCGTGATACTTCACAGATAAAGAAAAGAGAGAAGTGTAGCACATCCCAGATAAAAAAACAGTGAGATTGTTTGTATAACACTGGAAAGTTAACATTTGAACTCAAACTAGCCACCATCATCTTGAGATGAAACACAAGATTATCCCACTTTTAATGGCATTCTCATGCACCACTTGGAACATAAGTGGGCCAAGATTGAAGAGACCTCAGGTTTTATGCATAAACCCTTCATAGGCTCGAAATATTCACAGATAATTTACACAAGTTGCTTTACAAAGAAAAGAAATTAGAAGCTGTACAGGTCAAACCCACCATCATTACCTCCACCAACACCACCACCAGTGGTAATGTATATTTACAAACAAATCATCAATCACGAATTATGGAGGAGATGATTGGATGGGTTCAGGCAGCATTGCCACTGTAACTACATAATACTCAGAGCCAAGAGGAAGACCATATGGATTGAAAAATGACTCAGGTAGACCAGATCCTTCTCCCTTGCTGCTTAAAAGGTCAGACTGGTCACCAAGCTCAGGAGTTGGCGGCTTTGCAAACTTGTGTTCAATGTGCACAATTTGTCCAATTATGAAAGTAGGTCTATAGGGGAGGTGCTCAATAAACAAGGCGACGGATTCATCAGACAAGTAGTAGTTAGGGCGATTACGATTGATGGCCTCGTAATGTCCAGCAGAGTTGAGGACAAAGGCTGCGAGTTCATGGACTTCAAAATTGAGAAATGCCACCCTCTCCTTATTCACCTGTTAGCACAGCATATTGATAAACAAACCGTTAGATCTCGTCTAAGCCAAAACTAATGAAACCAACGAACAATCAAAAACACAAAAAGAACACAATGTATTGCCAGTGAGACAAAGTGACATTGATTCAAGTATTATTTTAACAAATGAGCAAGTGAAAGTTTTGCTAAAATGTTTGGGGGATGATAACTGACTTGTTTCTTTTTATTGTACAAGGTTTTCACAAGCTCATTCTTCCCTTCAAGCTCCTTTGACAGAAGGCCCTGAGCAGCATCAAACCTTGAACACCTCTCCAAGAGCTCAGCACGTTGCCTCGACAGGATGCTCACTTTGTCGGCCAGGATCCTAATGCAAGCCCGAATCTCTGCAGCGCTTTCATCTTCGTTGTCATTTGCAGAAGAACTGGTAGGGAAATTCGAGTCAAGTCATAAGAACCATAAGGCCTCCAGACAATGAGGATATATTTGAAGGATGAATAAAAATTATTATATTGAAGATCTCAAAAGGTGAAGCAGCTAGCAAATCAACTACAAGCACTATCTAAAACGACAAGTACTGTCTAAAAAAATATTGCTGAACTTGTAACTAATACTGGTGATATTTTTCTTTTCTTTTCTTTTAAACATTAGCTAATACTGGTGATACGATGTTCCTTATGTAACATTACAAAGACGTATCTAGATTAATCTTTCTTTTCACACATACACACACATGCATGTGCTCATGCATACATACACCTGCATGCATACACAAACGTGTGCGGGCACGCACACAACCTATATCTATAGGAAAACACTTAAAGATGCATATAGGTGAAGTTCTACCGTACTTCACCCATAGCCCATCAGCTCACACGGTCACGGTAGTTAGATCGTGTCTAAATTTTAATAATTTTTTCAAAGACTTGAAATTTTTTCAAAAGTGTATGCCGTAGTGAGGTGCACCTGAATAAAATATAAAAAAAATATTAATTTGAATGATAAAATGCCCAAAATACCCCTGTAAAGTTTCAAGCGTATTTTCATCATTTTATTGTTTGACAATTATTTTATTTAATATTTTATTTTGGTGCAATCTGGTCAAATGAACACATGTCCAAAATTTCAAATAAATCTGATTAGCAAAAAATTTATTAAAATTCAAAAACCATCAGACAACCATGACTGTGTGATGGATTTTGGATGGTGATGTGGGTGATGTACTATAAAAAAAAAATTTTTAGGTAATTCAATGGGGAAGACAGGCCTGTACCTGTTTCTTCATATAGATTTGGGAGTTAGCTCTTTGAAGGTGTCAGTGGGTGGTGTCAGCAGGATTGGAAACCACAACATGGTAACTAGGTATGGGGGTGCTACCAGCACGACCCAACCCCTTTCATGTAGAACTTCACCTATAAGTGTTTTAAATGTTTTACATATATATATATACATATATATATATATATATATATATATATATATAGT